TTCAGCGTCAGTCGGATCCAGGGAGAAGAAATCTTCATAGAAGGCCCATGCATGCCGGCGCATCTCACCTGGATCCATGAGAGAGGGTGCCGTCACCCACCAGAACTTCTTGGCTCCCTGCCTCCTCTCCAGGGCATAGAAGAAGTGGGAGCTGCACTCCATCTCCTGAAGAAGCTGGACAAGCAAGCGGACAAACACATCACAGGCACGTGGTCATCCAGAGCACAAAGCTCTTGCAACCTCTCCTGACACTCTCCATAGAAGGACAGGTTGATTGAGTCAGTGGCCAGGCACCTCTCCAGCTCCAGCACTTCCTGCTCAAGCTGCTCCTGGACTGCCTCCTTCTGCTGGGTGTGCCCCCAGAGTGGTGACAAAAGAGCCAGATGCACACCTTCCCCATGTCCCACCATCTTCAAGCCAAGGGGAAAGCTGCCCATTGCTCCTGCCAGGCCAGCCAGAACTCCTGGAAGGCCTCCCTGAATCCCACATCCTCCAGCAGACTGGCATTGAAATGTCAGTAGGCTGACCCCAGATGCCCAAGCCCTAGCATGGCCTGGACCCAAACAAGGTGGTGATCACTGAAAGGGGTTGGCTGGATGCCAGAGGAGTGGGCCTGGGCAAAGTGCAGCAAAGAAATACAAACCTGGTCCAACTGGGAGTGGCATGCCTGCTTCTCTGGCACCCTCACATAGCGGGGGGGGGGGCGGCGCTTGGTAGGATGACAGGCACATCAGACATCTACCAGGGAGTAGTCCATCAGGATCTCCCCGAGGATACCTATGGTGGCCTGGTTCCACTCCCTGTCCGACCAGTCTCGCGCATCTAGGGTGACATTAAAATCCTTGCCAAGGACCAGGCACTTGCGAGGGTTGAAGGTGCTGACACAAGTGACCACGCGGTGAAAAGATTCAGCCAACTCTGGGTCTGTTGCAGGGGCATACACATTCAGAAGGTTCAGGACCAGCCCCTGCATTTGGACCCAGAGGTGCAGCAGGTAGTCTGGCGAACGTCCTAGAGAACCTCTGGCTGCAGGCCTGTGGAGAACAGGGTGGCCACCCCACTAGAGATGGCTGAGAGGTGACTAAAAAAAGACCCTGCCTCCCCTCTCCAGCTGCCAATTAGGCTTGTCAGCTGCAGTTGTCAGAGTATCCTGCAAGAATACCATGGGGTACCCCGCTCCTGAAGGAAGGAGAGCACCCGGCATCTCTGGAGAACCTTCCTGCAGATGTGGACGTTGAGAGTAGTGATCTTAAATGACCTCATGGCTGGGGGTGTGGAGTAGATGGGTCAGCAGAGGCCTCACACATCTCAATGTCTGGGGTGCAGCCCTCTGGCTCACACAGCACCTTCCTATAAGTATAGAGGGAGTGTATAAAACTGCGGGGCCACCTATAGATCCGAGTGTTGCAGCTTTTAGGCCCCTTGCTTTCCCCCCCTCACAGTGGCAAGGACGCTGTCAAAATATCCCCAGAGGTCCAAGGCTAGCTGTACCTTGCTGGCAGACCAGCAGGTGTAGTCATGGTCAAGAAATACACATAGTTCATCCCTGGGGACCGCTGAAACAGAGGTCTGCAGACTCCATGGAGCCTGCTGGTTCTTGAACATCCTCCTCCTGGTCCTGGGGCTCAGTGGGCTCTTCAGGCACCATCTGCACCCCCTAGTCTTCTAAGACCCTGGACTGTGGTTGGGATTGGGAGAGCTCTGCAGTCCCTTGGGACAGGGGTGGGAGTGGGGCTGCTTCACAAGATGGTGGGGTAGAGCTGGAGCCCTGGGGGGCTGTGCAGGGTCTCCAACAAGATTGGCTCATTAGAGACCCCACCGTGCCCCACTCTGGTGCAGGACTATGGGGCAGGCTGGAAGTAAGGTTTTTCTGGGAGGGAAGACCCATCAGGCATCGTGGTGGCTTTGGTGTCTGCCTCAGGGTCCTAGGAAATGGTATCTCCTCCCATAGGACTCACTGGGAGTCCCAGGGCCTCGGTATCCCTGAGATCAGATGGAGGACATTCCACTGCTAGGCCTTCCTTTGGGTAGGCCTTGGTGCCTGTGATTCAGGGGATAGGCCCTGGTCAGCAGAATGAGGGGCTTCCTCCATGGGCTCCTGTTCAGGACTATCTAGCAGCCCTGAAACCTCCTCCATGAGGATCATCCATTTGATCTTTCCTAGGGGCGGGGTGTCAAGTGCAGCTGGGGAGGCCCCAGAGGCTGGACCACTCCTTCCCCCCCCTCCATGTGATGGTCTTGGGAGAGGGAGAGGAGTCCTTCACAGAGGGTTCCAGGTGCACCTGCGCCTTCCTCTTGCTTTTACACCAGGAGGGGACCTTCACCCAACTCAGCCATGGAGTAGTCTTCAGGTGGACAGGCTTCAGTAGGAGATGAGGATTGGTGGGGTGGGGCAGCTATGGCAGGGACATGACTAGGGGCAGGGGGGCCCTGCTCCCTCTCTCCCCCGAGTTGCTGCTGCCCTCCCTGGTACTCTGCCAAACTTTGTTGGGGGGCGGGGTCCCTTGGGCACACGGGGGGGCGGTTGCCAGTGATAGAGGCACCCCTCTTGCCAGTGGGACCCACGGATACCTTCCCCGCCTGGCCCATGGCTCCCACTGCCAGCTGGATCATTAACTTGACAATGGAAAAATCCTGGTGATGGAAAGAGGGTGGGGTCTCAACATGCCAGTGACAGGGCCACCACGGGGGAGATAAGTCTGCCCAGGGTTTGGAGTTGGGGGAGCAGGGCCCAACTGGGGAGGAACAGAGCTGAGGATCACCATGGTCCCCAGCTCTTCTAGAGGCTGAAGGGGGACGTACTAGCCCTCCACCATGAGCCCCCTCTCCACCACCTTTTGTACAGCAGCCTCCGAGACTTGGATGAGGGGATGGAAAGCAAGCTGTCCAAGTTTGCTGAAGACACTAAGATGTGGTGCGAGGTGGACACACTTGAAGGGAGAGAGAGGCTGCAACTAGATTTAGACAGACTACAAAAGTGGGCAGACAAGAATAGCATGGGGTTCAACATAGACAAATGCAGGGTGCTGCACCTTGGGAGAAGGAATCCACAGCATACATACTGGCTGGAGAGTTCACTTCTTGAAAGCACAGAGGCAGAAAGGAATCTCGGAGTCATTATTGACTCCAAGATGAACATGAGCCACCAATGCCAGACCGCAGCCAGCAAGGCCAGCCATACCTTGTCATGCATC